TTTTTTCTGGAATTAATAAATCTAAAAATTGTCAAAAAGTTTGTTGATTTCAGTAAACCTATTGATGAAGGCTCTTAATATAAAAAAGAGAATAAAAAAGACAACCTTTAATAAAATTAATTATGAACATGACCACAATGTACTTACTGGCCATATTTGGAAATTAAGAATATGTCTTCTTTCATCAACTTTTATGCTGTTTACAATGGCATTTATGAACCATTTATTATAAGAGTATAACAAAATTCCTTGAAATTGTCTAATAGTTTAGCCGAAAGTTCTTGGAATCAACAAATTGGACAATTTTTGCACTCATTCAATTTAAAAAAGAAAGCACTTGTCCACATACAAAACTAAAACAAAAGTACTTTTTCTGTCTTGTTTAATAAAGCACACACACACACACACACACACACACACACACACACACACACACACTAGGATTGGGAGGGAGTCTTCCACTATAAACATTCTATTACAGAGTCAAGTAACTGATCTGTACAAGAATTAATTAGGCTGAATGGAGGCAGTAATTGAGAGAAAGTATAAAGAATTCATTGAGAGAAAAACATAATCTGTTCAAAATTGTTATAGCCTGGCCAGGAAGCTTCCATTCATCTGCCATATTCACCTGATATTGTACATTTGAATTTTATGGAATTCTTTTAATTAAGAAATTTCAGTTTACTGGCAGTTTTCAAAAAACAGTTCTTTACTGAGAAAGATAAAAGGTTCTGTGTAAATGAGTTTCTGAATCTGTCTAAAACACAAGTGGCTATTTCAGTCCTTTACTGTGGAATGTTAAAAAAAGAATGAAAGAAGACACTTTATGAATTAGTTCTATGTGTTTATATATTTTTATTTATTCTATGTGTTTATATATTTTTATTTATTCTATGTGTTTATATATTTTTTATTTATTCTCTATAAAAGCTTGTGATTTGAACATTTAGAGCTAAATTTAGATACATTGGCTTTTTCAAGCATTCTGATTGATGACAAATGTTTTTTTCAAGTAAATTTATTAGAAGAAAAATAAATGTGTGTTTTCTTGATATACCTTTACTGTTTAATTTCAAATATGAATCAAATATAAAATTACAAAAATAACAGGATGATAATACAGGTAAAGGTTTATCCTTTTATATAATTCTGACGATGCATCATTTACAAGTTAATTGTAAACATGTCCTCAAAGAGGCTTTATTCACTGACATAGCCTCTAACAAGTTTGGGTCTCATGACTACTGATGACACTGTAATAATAATGTACTAATAAGAGTAAGATCTTTGATCATACTTTTCTTCCCTCAACTTGAGGTATTAACTTCTCCTGTTTTACTTGTAAATTCTCTTCCAGTTCTACTCTTGATTCATCTGGAATATCTTTGTCTTATTTTCTGAGTTTCTATTCTGTGATATGCTTATAACTTCAAAAATTTAAATGCAATGTAAATTATTATCTTCTGTTTTCTTAATTCCTCTTCTTTTATCATTCTCTTTCCTTAATAATGTTTACTTTTTCTCCTATTCTTTCACCCTTATAAACCCTTTGTGTCTTAGTGGTTTTATTGCTTTGCTTGGGGTGAAATGATTGAAAAAACTTGTGCTCTGTCATCTAAAATTTAGAATGAAAACTACAAAAAGCAAAAGATCAGGTTTAAAATTTAAGGGAAACCATATTTCTGATACATTATTCACTAAAGCCTAAAGACAATCTAGTAATATATGATTTTATTGAAAAAATATATTTTGTATTGCTATAGAAGAAGTAAACAAAAGTAGAAAAATGCAAAAATAAAAGTATCATTTATATATGAATAAAGATAATTTGATTATGCAATAAGGAATAATATGGATAAAGATAATTTGATAATACAATAAGGAATAATATAAATAAAGATAATTTGATAATACAATAAGGAATAATATAAATAAAGATAATTTGATTATGCAATAAGGAATAATATAAATAAAGATAATTTGATTATACAATAAGGAATAATATAAATAAAGATAATTTGATTATGCAATAAGGAATAATATAAATAAAGATAATTTGATAATACAATAAGGAATAATATGAATAAAGATAATTTGATTATGCAATAAGGAATAATATAAATAAAGATAATTTGATAATACAATAAGGAATAATATAAATAAAGATAATTTGATAATACAATAAGGAATAATATGAATAAAGATAATTTGATAATACAATAAGGAATAATATAAATAAAGATAATTTGATTATGCAATAAGGAATAATATAAATAAAGATAATTTGATTATACAATAAGGAATAATATAAATAAAGATAATTTGATTATGCAATAAGGAATAATATAAATAAAGATAATTTGATTATACAATAAGGAATAATATAAATAAAGATAATTTGATTATGCAATAAGGAATAATATAAATAAAGATAATTTGATTATACAATAATGAATAATATGAATAAAGATAATTTGATTATGCAATAAGGAATAATATAAATAAAGATAATTTGATTATACAATAAGGAATAATATAAATAAAGATAATTTGATAATACAATAAGGAATAATATAAATAAAGATAATTTGATTATGCAATAAGGAATAATATAAATAAAGATAATTTGATTATACAATAAGGAATAATATAAATAAAGATAATTTGATTATACAATAAGGAATAATATAAATAAAGATAATTTGATTATGCAATAAGGAATAATATAAATAAAAGATAATTTGATTATGCAATAAGGAATAATATAAATAAAGATAATTTGATTATGCAATAAGGAATAATATAAATAAAGATAATTTGATAATACAATAAGGAATAATATAAATAAAGATAATTTGATTATGCAATAAGGAATAATATAAATAAAGATAATTTGATTATACAATAAGGAATAATATAAATAAAGATAATTTGATTATACAATAAGGAATAATATAAATAAAGATAATTTGATTATACTATAAGAATAATATAAATAAAGATAATTTGATTATACAATAAGGAATAATATAAATAAAGATAATTTGATTATGCAATAAGGAATAATATAAATAAAGATAATTTGATTATACAATAAGGAATAATATGAATAAAGATAATTTGATTATGCAATAAGGAATAATATAAATAAAGATAATTTGATAATACAATAAGGAATAATATAAATAAAGATAATTTGATTATGCAATAAGGAATAATATAAATAAAGATAATTTGATTATACAATAAGGAATAATATAAATAAAGATAATTTGATTATACAATAAGGAATAATATGAATAAAGTTAATTTGATAATACAATAAGGAATAATATGAATAAAGATAATTTGATAATACAATAAGGAATAATATGAATAAAGATAATTTGATTATACAATAAGGAATAATATGGTACATTTTTCTTGTTACATGTCAGTTATATACATCACTATTTATTGAAGTTGAAAACTCTGTTAATTTCAAAGAAGAGTTACAATTATTATCTGTAATTGATTTAGGACCGAGTTAAAGGACATAGATATTTTGATAGTGAGAAAAAAGAATAAAAATCTTAAGAAATCTAGAAACAGGATTTGATTTTGAAGTTTGCTCTTTAAATCTATAATTAGCATTCCAGAAAAGGGTTTAGTAGATTTTAAACACTGTGTGTAGAGAAAGAGACAATAGTTCACTTCCTATTTTTGTTAAAGTGTTCAGGAAGTCTTTGGAGGATCACCTCTTTTATGTACAAGGAGAAATTTTGTGGTACTATTTATTTATTCTCCTAACAGTAGAAAGCATTAAAAATATCAAAGCAAATATTGTGTAACTGTGAATGTGGTAATGTCAGTTTTGAGTAAGAAAACCAGATGTGAAAAATGGATGGATTTATAAGATTACATGATGTGAAAAGGGTAAATTTTTTTGTAAAGTTTTGTCAGGTCTTGAGGTATATCATCAGTGGTAGTACTTTTGCAACAAAGCAGGTGACCTTGATTTACTCAGGTGCATTGAGATGTAAAACTGTACATGTTCACTGCCTACATCCAACTCTCACACATGGCTCCAAGAAGTCCCATGGGTACTGTGTTGACCACACCTTGGCCAATGCCATCAACTTGCTGAGTGAAGGTATTCAGAAGGGTTTCCTGACCTGACTAGTGAAGGAGACTGCCTCTCTCCAACCCACCTGTGCCGAACTGCCTTCATACAGTCTGGGCATAGGAGCTGCACCTCAGAACTTTGCCAGTGGATGGAAGAATTTCTGGAAGGAGGGATGGGTAACTTCAAAATTCCTGGTGCAAACCGAACCAAGAAGCCATTGCACTATTTTGCTTCGAATGTCACCATGAACCAAAATTACAAGTGTTGACCACAGTTATACAAAATGGGCAAGCTGAGTTATACGAAATGGGCAAACTGAGTAAATGAATGAAAGATAATGGTCAGGACTTGCAGATGCTCTGGCATTTTTCAAATCATTCTCAATTGTAAGTTGTTTTATTTTTTTTAGAGCGAATGATCATTGATCATTCCCACTCAGGCCATATCCAAACAACTGACATAATCCTTTATTTAAATATAGAGTTACTTTTATCTCATGTGAGTCACTTACTTTGATCAGGTCAAGTCAGCATTATAATTCAGATAATCAGAAAGTGCTCAACATAAAATTTTAATTATATACTTCCAATTTTCTAATTGTTTTCTACATATTTTATGAAAATAGGCCATAGAGAATATTTGGTATTTTAAAGATTGACTTGAGACTAATTTTGTATATTGTTTGGTATTTTGGGGAATGGTTCTTGAATGAGCTTAAATAGATTGTTAAAACTCTAATATTTATTCCTTGTAGTTTTATACAAAAGTCATACATTTATATGTTTTTAATGCACATCTATCATAAATTATCTGTTATCATATTTGTTCTCTTTTAATACTTTTTTTTTTATTCCTGCTTCAGTTAATAAGAATTTAATACTTTTTTTTTTAGCAAACTTGGTCTACATCTACCTAATCCAGTGAAAGAGCAAGAAAGTACTGCACAGTGGGATTCTGACCAAGAGTCACTAATTGTCACTTTGAAATTGAACAGAGAATTTGATTTCCTGAATTACTGACCATTGTATGAATTGTATTTTTATTCTTTTTCATATAAAATACAAGTACTAAAAAAAAAATAAAAACTTTTTTCTAAGTAGAAAATTATCATTGTTTATTAAATGAACACAGTTTTTGAATTTAGAACTTTACAATAAAATGAAATATTTTACAAAAAAAAACTGTAACTTTTTCTTTATATTTTAGTTCAATAAAATTTAATTATTAATTTGGATTCTGTCTTCAAACATCGTACTGAAGTTTTCATTTACTGTACCAGTTAAACTATTTAATTAAAATAAATAGGATATATTCACTTCAGATTACTTAAAGTGGATTAATAAAAAGTCATTATAATCAATATAAGTAGCATTTTATTTTAAATGTTTTCAATTCTTTGTATTTAAAATAATAGATGAATAAATAAATTTCAAATGCTGTAATGGATTAAAATATATTTTTTCTAAATTACAATTAAATAATTGAAATTTTTTATGTTTTATAAAGAAGAGAAATATTTGTTTGAAGTGAAAAAGAAATTAATGATATTTATAAAAAAAAGTAATCATGAAGATTTTGTTGACTGCATCCTGGCATTTTTTGGAGTGTTACACTTCAAATATACAAAAACAATTTTGTTCTGTAGAGAAGATTTTATTTCTTTATCATCTTTTTGTGCTAATTTAATAGCTTTGAAATTGATTGCTGGACATATATCTATTGTGGAAATGTTTCTGGAAAGGGTGTCTGCCAAAGTATTATAAGTACTTTTTATATGTTGAATATCTGTTCAAAATTGACTGATGAAGTTGGGATTTCTATGTTTGTGGGGTGAGTAGACTGTTTGTATTGCTCCAATTAAAGACTTGTGATCAGTGAAAAATGATGGAAATGTCAGATGGCATTTTTGACAGCCATCCATTCTTATTTGAAGGTAGTATCAGGTAGCAGTTACTGACAATTTTTTGGAGAAAAATCATATGAGTAACCATTGATATGATGAATACTGTGGCAATACTGAAACATCTACCAGTAAAGACTGTTTTACTCTTTGATTAGGAAAGGTAACATTATTAATATTAGATAACTTTTCTTTAGACAAATTGAATACTAACAACTCTGTTTCAGACAATTTTATATCACAATTCTCTTTCTTTTTCCCTTGGAATACATTTATCAATGATCAAATTATTCCAGGTAAGTTCAGGATTAACTTTTGGTAAAAATTAAACATGAAGTTTTTGGAACTAGGAATAAATGAATAACTTTGGGTCTTCTTGAAAAATAACTGAAATGGTGTATTTGTGTCAATTCTGCCTCTTAAAGTAGTCAAACTCAGATAAGCCGAATTTACATTTTATAGGGTTCACTACAACGTCGTATTTTCAAAATCTTTCAAAAACTTCTAGTAGATGACATTTATGTTTTTCTGTTGAAGTACTGATAATAAGGACATCATCAATTTAGGAGAAAACTGGGTCAAGTCTTTAAAGAACTTGATTCTTAAACTGTTGGACATTCTGTGCTGTGTTTCCAAATCCAAACAAGAAAACATCAAAATCCAAACAATCCAAAAGATGTCGTTATCGCTGTTCTTTTTTTTTTTTTAATGCCTTTTTCTTCTACCGGTATTTGTTGATAGATATGATTCTGATGGAATTTTTAAAATATGGTAACACCGTATAGGTAGTGAAATCCTAAACTTTAAAAATCGGAAATCGATCCAACCCAATGATGGAATTTAGTCTACGGTAGTCACCACAACATCACCATGTTTGTTTTTCTATTTACTACCATATATAGTGATAAGGATCAGTTGCTGGCGGAAGGGTGAAAAGATTCGTTAAAATTCCTGTTTTGTTATCTGAAGCTTGTCATGAGCAAATCGATGAGAGTGTGAAAAAAAAAACCCCAAAAACAACAGATCAGTGACTTCGATTCGATGCGTAAAGTCGTGCTTTATCCTCCAGATTCCTTTATGTCAACCAAATTCGAAAATATTCGTCTCCAGCGACTTCTGATCTGAGAAGTATCGTTGATTGGAGAAAACCAATACAAGTTAGCGTGTCAATTAGTTATGACTTTTTTCTTTAGATCTATCAACAGACTTTTATGGTGTTGGAAGTTGTCACCTGTTATTAGTGTAGTTATGACAGTTATAACAAAAGGTCCATGTAAAGTCTTGCCGTAAATCTAAATCCAATGTTTTATATCCATAAGTGTAGATGATGAAGCCGTTCTCTGCACGTAAACCTTTCCAGATTCATCAATTTATTCTCTGAAGAAAGTAAAATTAAATGATATTTGTTGTCCGCCATTGACTAGAAATGTTATCTTCGTATTGCTGTCTGTAATTAATATGAAAGAATCGTCTTGCCTTTGAAGAATAATTAAGTCTCGTAGACAAAAACTGTGGGTTTATTCTTTTCTCTGGGACTCATAATTGTATGGGGTGGGGCACCTAGTAGATCGTTGGCCGAACCTTCTGTGGGCCAAGCAAATATTGCTACCTGTGTTTTATTTTACCTTAAACTTTTGTCTACTTCTGGAAGGACGACGATGAATTCGTCTTTTCATTTGTTTCGTATGTGCTATAAACTCTTCCATTTATTTTTAAAGCTTTTTTTCTCAGCGTGTAGTTGGGCTTACATTATCGTTGTCGTCCAGAAACCATGCGCCTAAGACTAGCTGATTCATTAGCATAGTATTCATTAACTTGTCCGCCATATTTGTCAACTCTTCCATTTATTTTTCAAGCTTTTTTTTTCTCAGCGTGTAGTTGAGCTTATATCATCTTTGTCGTCCAGAAACCATGCGCCTAAGACTAGCTGATTCATTAGCATGGTATTCATTAAGTTGTCCGCCATATCTGTCAACTTTTCTGGGTGTTCATCTCCCACGGAGGTTTAAAATATTTGCCATTGTTGAGGCAATTTTTCAGGAATATGAACCTTATGAAGCTATCGTCTAAGCTGGTTACTGGTTAAATTTTGGAGTTGTCGGCGAAGTGTCATAAAAATTGTTTCTAGCGATATAAAATACACTTATGGGTTGTTTGCTAAAATGACGAGAATATCATAAGCGTCTTCTATACTGTCGGAAGCTTCGTAACAATAAATTTTGTGACTTTCGGTTTTTTTCTGAATATCGCTGTGGAGAAATGCATCTCACGTGGTTTAGTCTTGTTTGGTCTCTTTGTGTGTTTAGTTTTCCTGAGTTGTGAAGCTGAGATCCAGACTGTTGAAGATGTATTTGTTATTTTTTAACCAAAACTTTTTGTTACTGGTTGAATGGTCTGTAAATGGCACTTGTAGTCAGCGGGAGTCGAATGGTTAAAAGATTGTGTTTGCAGTGGGAATAACAGTATGGATAGTAACAGTCTTGTTGATACAGGTCCATATGAGTATGAATTTTTTATTGGACATACCTGCAAGGCTGGTGCGTAGTATCCTCTAACCTCCCGACATTTACTTTCTTTTACCTACATTTATATACGTTACAAATTAAACAATGCACAGTTGACTATTAAAGGATGGAAATTTTTCGTGAATTTTGAGGTCATCCTGGGAGCTTTCTTTTTTTTTTTTTTAGTCCAAATCCGTGAATTTGTTTTGCTCGTACTAAGTCTCGGAATAAAGACTATATAAAATTTACATATTTTTTTTTTTATCCATAATGTAGTGTGTATTAAAATCATTCAATTTTTTAACAAGAAAAATCTCAGATTGATTTTAAAAATTGCCGCAAAACATTGTTGATTTAATATAGAATGATTTATTATGTCATACCTCTAATTTATATTTAGATATATTGTATTTATTTTTAATTTTTCTAGTTTAATTGTTCACCTGTATTGCATATTTTCTATTATTGTACATAATTAGGTTACAATAAAATTTGTATTTTATATCAATACTACCTTATGAATATAGAGTTGGCGGCGTATCATAGATTTGGGGGGATCCCGTATCATAGATTCAGTGAGGGGCACGATTCTTGCATCCGCCCTGCATAGCTGTATCCGGTTTGCGTAGCGGACACATAGTACTGCTACTTATATCCACTACAGCCAATCGTCTCTTTGTGCTGCGACTGTTCTAGCAGGAAGTTACTACATTCTCATTCTCCCAATGGCCTTGGGTAGTAGCTATATCAAAACAACTGAATACTGCTCATGTACAAACAACATTGTTTCCAAGAGCCGCTAAAAGCTGCAATATAAGCCCAGTTAGATTATCACAAAAAGTTCGTACCCCTATCTGTATCACTACATAAGTGAATGGTGACCTCAGTTATTTCATAACAGCTTGTTTATGGTCGGCGGGGTGTAATGGATAACAAGCTTGTTTCGCTAGAACCATTACAACTGAGTAGTGAATTCGATCCTCACTGGGTGCCCCATTCTTTCTTTTTGAAATAGCAGAAACATGACTGCATTACTGCAACAGATTACATTTTAACGCACAAAATCTTTCCATTTATTTTATATCAATACGAATATATATATATATATATATATATATATATATTAAGAAATGGACAAGGTCCGACAATTTATTTATTAAAGACATTTTTTTTTTTTATGTTTAAAAATAACAACGTTAAACATAAAAAAAAATGTCTTTAATAAATATATATATATATATATATATATATATATATATATAAAAAGAAAGAGGTTGTAGTGGTTCCAACGAGAGAAAAGTATGTATATTAAAAAGAAGAGAAGAGAGGTGCCGCAAACGTTTTTGATTGTAATGTGTTTTTTGGCGAAAATATTATGCTTTATTTTCCATAATTTTACTACACGAGTTTCTGGTCTCGTGACCGTCTTCCGGTAAAAGCGGAGATTTCCACATATTATTAAAATTAATTAATTTTTCCTTATGTTTTTCAATGTTAAATATTCTCGATATGAGACATTCTCTGTTTTTGTGTTAGTAATCCGAATGTCTTTTTTGAATTGGCAATGAAGAGTTCTGTGCGAAGGGTCATAAAACAATTAAGGTTGGTCCAAGAG